TTGGACTGGTTAACCGGAATATTAGTAATATTATAGCGTTACTTGATTTTTTTTAAAAAATTGGCATTGGAAATAATAATGTACCTTACACCCTTCATCTAAATAACTAAGCTCAAATTACTAATGTTACTGATATTTTCAGGTAATGAAAAACCAAAAGTTATAATCACTAAAAAAGGTACGAAAAGACTTATACTGAATGGGTTCAAATACGGATATCGACGTCAAAATGGCATGAAAAGTTGGTGGCGATGCGTGAGGCATACTGCGAAGTGTCGTTCCATGGCCGCTATGGTTGAAGATAAAGTGGTATTAATTAAGGAACATAATCACGAAAGTCACATATCTTTTTAAAATGAAATGGAAACTGTAAAAATGAATTCGTTTTCCCAATTTTGTTTATCTTTAAGTTTTTGAATGACGATAAAAAATAAGTTTAATATGAAAAAATTATAAAATATATTTATGATATAATGTGGTTCAATAATTGGTCTTTAATTTCTCCTTCTCCTTCTCCTCAGAGAATACTGTAGCTTGGTGACGTTTTTCCTAATTAATTTCCAATGACTAAAAGATGAAAGCGTGATGAATGATATATAACGGCAAGGAAAAGAGGAAGGTACCTATGGCGGTAGTTGTTGATAGTACTACGCTCGATGTGGTTGAAGAGTATGTTTTCCTAGGATGACTAGGTACGTTCAATTTCGAATAAAAGGTTTACCTCGGCTAGGAGGCGTTAGAGACATTATGAGACATCTTTAAGTTTGATTAAATTTGAAAACAAGTGTACGTGTTGCGAGTGATGACATAATATCGATCCTCATTGAGCTATAAAGTTGAGCTATTCTTGGAGTTTCTCTGCGTGATGAACTTCGTAATTAGGTTATCCGCAGTAGAACTAGACCACGGGTAAGTAAGCCGAAGTGGCAATCGATCTCAACCAATAACTCTAACTCAAACCGTCAACCACTGGGGAAAAAGTTTCACGAGTTGCAGTTTCGCACTTGATGCATAGACGTCCTAGTAAAAGATGCAGGAGGTTGATGGATGGAAGTGGCACAGAACTATGTGCTGTGGCATTTTTTGGGGTAGGACTATGTTTAGCAGTGAACTTGTAAATACTTGTTATAGCCCATAATGATGATGATGATGAAAACATGAATAACGAATAAATAATTTTTTAAATTTTCGTCTGTCTCTCTGTCTTTTCGGGCTATGATGGATGAACAGATTGTAATGAACTTTGTTGTAGCTGGCTGTATTTTACTTTTTTTGAGTAATAAAAATATTCAGTATTAAGCATTTTTTATTTATCTGATGATATACCACCATATATCGGAGGTCTTGAGTGGTGTTTCAGGGTTTTACCATAGTCGCTCCTTACAATACCATGAGACGACATGTTTTAGTCGATCCCTTTCGCCAACTTCGCACGGTTAAATACTAAAACAACATAATTTTGTTTCAGGTTTCGAGTGGATTGTTACAAGTTCCAAAACGAAACAGATTCAACTAAACGGCTACAGATATGGGCTACAGTTCCTTAGAAAGGGCAAAGGAAGATGGCGGTGTGTTAAACAGAGGCGCGGCTGCAAAGCGGTCGTGATCACAGTGGATGGTGAATTTCTATGCGTAAAAAACGAGCATAACCACGAACGTGAAGTTCCTCGTTTTAAGAAAAAATATTAACTATTAATAATATAAACAAACCTTGGATAATGTATCAACATAAGTATTATTTATCATTTCTGAAACACATCTTCAGCTGCCGTGTCATTTAGTGAGTATAGAGAACCGGGAACAAATATTTTCACTGGAAACAAGGCATCTCAGTCCTCAGGGGTGACAACGCATATGTATTTTGGTTCTTAATCGTAGTTGTCTATGGGTCTATGGTCTATCAGGTGGACTGTCTCATTAGTTACCCTTATTCTATAAAAAGTGGATTGTCTGAGAGGATTTTAGTGCAAGGAAGTGTCCACCGCGCCATTAATGGTGTGCATATCATGGACAACTGGAAACAACTTCAAAAAACTTGCCACTATTGTAATGTAATAAAACGCAATGTATTTAATACATTGGCATCAATTATGCAGTTTTAAGTAAATATTGATTGTTTTAGTATGCTAATAAAACACCTTCAACTTAGTCATGATCAATATCCATAGACTCTCCACGAATTCGATCAAAACGTAGCTCTACCTTTAATAGAGTTTTAAAAACAACATATCAATGTTTGCATACAGAGTCATAGGCAAATTATCTACATATCAGGTGGACTGTGTGCTCGTTTGTCGCCGGGTGCCATCCCGGGGTTATTAAACAGATATCGATGATTGGAAGGATTTGTCACCCTTAAAATAATCACGTCTAGATACAAAGTACGTTAAAGTAAACTTATTCTAAAATGTCACAATAGTAATGGAGAGGAAATTATCAGTTCGAAGTGCATCTTTATGCTCACCAACCCGCATATCCAATGTGGGTAGTCAAACAATTTTTTTCATATAATACTTGTCAGATATGCGCCGTGGTATCTCAGAGGCTGAGATCTCACCGACACTGAAATTGTTTACAATTTTAAGTGTTGATTGACCACGTACTCTAAAACATCGTGGAAAAATCTTTTCATTAAATAAAAATGTATTGATATCTCCCAATATGCATTAGGGCGCGGTGGACACTTCCTTGCCCTAAAATTCTCTTTAAAATGAGAGGAGGCCTGTGTCCAGAAGTAGGTCGTATAAAGGCTGTAAGTTTACTTTATATGCCAGTTAATGCATTCCTGAGAGAGAACAGACAAAAACCAAAGTAATTTACTTATTCCGCTCACCTTCTTCGACTATTTATGCGAGCAAGAGGTATCACAAATTATGGCAAAAATAAAACTATTAGGAAAATATTGCCTTTTTTTAATGTATTTAAATAAAATTTGATATTTCGAACGTTGACATAAATCCTTCTAAAAGAGGAAGTCTGTTGTTACCTTTTCACGAGTAAACCATTGAAAGCGATTTTATGGATCTTTGATATGGATAGCTAGCTATAGTTCTTATGATGCTAATAAGCTACTTTTATTATTTTGGAACGAAGTTCCTTATCGGACTATACGAATTTGGCGGATGGGGGCTAGGCGAGAAAAAATGTAAGATTTTTCCGTCGCGACTCCTTCTGACGTAGTATAGACGACCTCGGCGGATATACGGAAGCGAAATGGAGTAATATCCATCTCCCTCGCACTTTTTCTTGCCATGAAAGAAAAATTATTTTATTTTAAATGACGCTTCATTTTAATAGACGCTAGTAATTCATTTATTTGTATTTGCTGATCAATTATATATATATATATATATATACACCTATATATCAATAATAATATACTACGAAAGGAACTTTGTTCCCACCGAGTGTTCCACGACAGTCACGCATGTTTGTTTTTGTTTATATTTTTAAAATCTTACGCTAACGTAGTTGACTTCATTTATATAACATCATAGCTGATACAAGTATAGGAAACGGGGCAAACGTAAAAGAACGTAAAAAATAAAAAAAAAACTCTGTCCGATCCAAAAGCGACATATAATATGCAATAAAGTAAACAAAATTAATGTTTGTGCGTTCGTATTTTATGCGCAGGTATACCGTTCATCAGATTGCAGTAAAAGTTTGTCAACTTATTGCTTCCACTTGTGCGGAGGTTATAGGATTAGTACAATTAACTTACACAGGCGTATTGTACACACAAATTTACTTGAAAGTTATGTATCATCATCATTATCATTCCTAATTAAACAATATAATTATTCCAAATTTAAAACGACTTCTGCGAAACTTCTGCGGCAGCAACGCCCCGGGTACCAGCTAGTTATAGATATTTAAAGATTCTTCTAATTTAATTTATGAATTATTAAAACTACGCTTATAAATTTATTTACAAAAACATATTTTGCGGCAATTCCAAATATAGTCGGTACGGCGCGATCGTTGGTGCCAAGGTGTGGACAAGTGCCAAGTGCCGAAGTGCCATCAAATGTGACGCCCGCCTCACTTTACACTTAGTTAAACAGCTGGACCGTGTGTAAGCGTCTCTAGCCTTACACACGGTTCATCTTGTTCTACGTTCCACAAAGATCATGCACAATGTACGATGAATAACGACAATAAATTGGCTAAATAGTAATTGTTTGCTGGATACTAGACTAGACCCATTTTGCATCCAGCAAGGCAGCAGCGAGTCACAGAGAGGGGAGTGGCGATGCAGCGAGTGAGGGTTAACGTTTTTTTTTTAAGAATAAAATAAGGAAATAAATAGGATTGTATAAAAGAAATCAAAAAGCAATACTTAATAACACCCTTACGGATCCGACAGGGTTCTCTTAACGTTGTATATTATGGGCATATAAATAAGATATAAGATTTATGTAATAATTTTATTATGTAGTTAAGGACTAGAAATAATATAAGACCATTTTATATTTTTATAGGTTTTGTTATTGTTAAGATGTAGTTTCTCTTAGTATAAATTATGTAGTTAGTAAGGAAATTCCTACGAGTTACTAAGTAGTTGTTCTTTTTGTTTTATTACTTGCGAATTTTAAACATGTATTAAGGAATAAAATAATACTTGTTGAAATAATAATAAAGGTTATTATTTACACGATTTTAATTTTTAATCCCATAAATTCTTAGAAAGCCAAACCTTACACGTAACAGTGAATTATAAAGATATCATGACAACGCTGCATTGGATTATTAATCTGCATTTGGATTTTAAATCCAGAATATATCTTCTATGGGCTACAGCAACCATTTACCATCATGACTGCTTGCCAGTTTGTTACATTTATTTCTACAAAAAAGACAACCTATTGATCGATATTATTTATACAAGTTTAGTGTCGATAAAGGCACTGTCGTCTTCAGAAAAATCTTGACATTTTTATTACATAAAGTGAGTACTTATCTAAAATATACACGTTTTACTTTTTTCAGGAACAAACATGAACTTCAAAATAGTAGCGACTGTAGAGAATGGAGAAAGAAAGCTTATCATAGTACCGTGCTTATGGGAGACGAATGGCGAATTAAGATGTCCAAAAGAACGAGCCGACATCATAAGATTAGTCAAGGACAAAAACTCAAGACCTCTGCCTGACTGGCGCATAACCGAATGTGTTGTTAAACTGTCATCTATACCATCTTATGAACAAGCAGAAAAAGAGCTGCGGAACATGCGCCAGCACCGCGATGCGGACGTTAACAGTAGAAGAGAAGAACATGTAAGCAGTGGTTTTTAAAAAAAAATTATAGTTATAGAATATAAATAAAACTAGTTTTTACGGATTTTATCGCGAATATTAACTTGTTCTATATTCCCGACGTTTCTAGTACTTTACAGCATCCATGGTCATGGGGGGAGGGGGGACTGAGGTTTTCGACGTCCCAGAGTCATAGTTAACTACGGCTACCTCTAGATTAAAATTATTAATTTTTGGTGCGATCTAAGCAGTATGAATTTACGAGATATTAATATACGCGATAAAAAAAATAAAAACTAGTTTTAAAATTTAAAATTCATCAATACTTATGGTGATTACCTGCTAACTAATTTCTTCTACGACCATAACTTCCAATTTTTTTTATAGGTTATGGGTGACGAACGAGCGTACAGTCCGCCTGATGGTTGTTTTTTGAGTGGTTGCTATGGCCCATAGACATCTACATTTGTCCTCGATTACGAATCAAAATGCACATGCGTTGTCACCCGTGAGGATTAAGATGGAATGTCATTTCCAGTAAAAAGGGTCTCCGGTTCTCTACACTCACCATACGAAACACAACAGCGATATGCTGCTATTTTACGATGGTATTCTGTGAGAGCGTGGTCCTTCCCCGGTCGAGCCGACCCATTGGTGCAACTAATATACATAATATAGCTGCAGCATGTCTCTACCACGTATATTACCACCGCCCTTCCAGGATCTAACTACCGCTCATAAAATAGTATGATGTCGAAAATGCATGTACTAACACTGCAGTGTTAACACGAAGAATTTCACTCGTCCTAAGCTGTCCGTGCTGAATGTAACATTTATACAATACGGTCGTAAATAGGTTGAAGCAATGTCAAAGACACGTGTAATATAGATCAGGAAAAGTTTGTATTTTACACAAATGTTCGCTGCAGATGAGATTCGAACCCTACTTACGACTTAGCCAGGTATTCTGAACACTTAAAGTTTAAGTTACAGCCTATATACGTAGGTACGTACCAGGCCTCCTCTAACACTGGCTGATACATAAATAATTTGTCATGTTAAAAAAGCTCTAATGTTACCTTCATTGGAATTAACTGGAAAAGTTCCAATGTAGGTACGGATACCTCAACTGAAAAATTAACTTCTATAGCTTGTCACAGACCAGAACTATATCTGCAGGTCGTTGTCTTTGAATTAGTAGACAAATTAAGCTGTTAGGGCCCACTTTTCAATAGGTTTAATAACAGTAACATATAAAAAATAATCCGGACTGAAATACATTAATATTGTAAGTTTTATTTTAATATTCTTACTACTTTTTGGATTAAATATAATGTTTACTATACTTTCAGGTTGTGAATCATCAAGAGAGAACACCAAACTCGGTTACAGCAACTGCAAACCCCACGTCGATACCTCTAGTAACGACACTGACAGTCGAAAATATTAATGAGCATGAGTTTGAGTACATAGATTGTAAGAATAATTTACCTACGACTTCAGTACAAACTCAGGAAATCACAAATACGAACCACGTTATGGAATACCTGAAAGTTATTTCAGATAGCCAATACAACATGGCACAAACATTAAATCTTGTAGTAGATAATCAAAAGAAACTTTTTCATAAGCTTGCAAATCTATCTGTGCAAATCAAGGACGTAAATTCAAAGCGTGATCAAATTAATAAAACACCTATAACATTGAGCGAATCTACCGCAACTGAAAGAGATGGTTTTATAATAAAACCCATTGAATCAGTTAGAGAGCTAGAAGAAATGGAATCGATGTTATCTGATAATACACACAAGTGTAAACTAATGCAGCAATATTCACTGGTATGTTCACAATCAGAAGGAAAGGGAGTAACATGTGCGTATAAAATGTTGGACTTATTTTTCTCCAGAGAATTTTTGTGTAAGTGTTCGTGGACGGGCGGCAGTAGGAGTGACGAATTAAAAATTGGATTTAAAGGCTACAAAAATATACTCCAATTTTACTTTGAATTGATAAATTCCTGGGATTCGACTTACACGATGCAAGACAATGAAAACTTTTTCAAAGTTATTTTGAAAAACTCTGCAAAGAGAAAGCTCCACAAGAATATAAGAGCTTCAACAAAACGAACGAGAGCAAAAAAAGCTGTTATTGTAAAGAAACATCAAAATCAAATAGAAGGAAATCACGCAGTAAGTCAACATGAATTAGAAATAAGTGAAAGTCAACAAAGGAATGAAACAAGACAACAGATCTTCGCAGGACAGGAATGAAACATCTGAAATAGTTAAAGAAAACACACGAGATGAAGAAGTAATGGGGAAAGTAAAGGAGACGAAGTATTTCTTTGTTAGTAAAAATAATGTTTGTCATTGCTTAATTTGTCATGTAACCTGATTTATAGTAAGTAGTTTAAAGTAACACGTGAATAATAATTTATGCTAGATCGTGACGAGTATGAGTTACGGAGCCGTCAGTGCCCCATGTACGTCATTCCTCGTAAAATGACAATTAATAATGGAATTTAGGTACGCTATAAAATATGCCAGACATAGCAATTGAAATTAGTAAAGCGGAATCTAACACAAGATGTAAAAAAGCTAGAAGAACCATATTGGATAATTGTAAAGTTATCTTTATTGGTAAATGAACATTAGTCTCGTAACTTGTTAAATTTATTTCACATTACAGTCAAATCTTTTGCACATTCGATAGTTTTAAAATACAATATCCTTCTCTAAACGTGCATCGCAAACTGCTCTGATGTGGCACGGAAGGGTGTCCATATCGCTACAAAAAGGAAGCAAGGTGAATCTCGAAGACAACCGAAAAACGAAGACAGCACGGCGTTACATAACGTAATTTTTATAATTAATTGCACTGTCTATTTTCATGTCTAGTCGATATCTCGTATGGATCACCTGTGTTTTAACCTGTTTTGTTTATTGTTAGTATTAATGTTGACAAACAATTGTTAATTGCTAAGAAAAATAAAAGTATATATAATTACATTATTTTTATTCATTATCATCATCATAACAGCCAGTGCTTAACATAGGCCTCCCCAAAGATTGCCAATTAGAGGGAATTTTGCCATAGTTGCCACGCTAGGCATGCGCTTTGGCAACCGCAGTTTTTATAATTTTGAGTCGTTATCAGGAAGATGCTGCTGCCCATCTCCTGTTTCAGTTTCCCTCGGTCGTCTCTTACGACACCCACGGGACGATATGGGGTAGTGGATATTCTTACTCTGTCACTTCGCGGTAAATTATTGATGAATGATGATTTTTATTATTCACTGTTAATATTTAAAGGGATTTAAAATATCTTCTTCTTTATAATCTTATAAAAGTTCATTGCAGGACAAAAATATCTTCCAAAGTTGGAAGAATATGCCATCGACTACACATATAAATAAAATTGAAGTGTATGTCTACAATTTCGAAATAACTGCCTTTTATTGAGCTGGGGGAGTTATTTGCATGCTTTATAGCAAAAAAATTACATTTACATCCAGGAGAAGCCGGCCGGATCGCTAAAATGCTTTTTCATTAATTTACTAGTAAAATAAATATCACACGAGTGAATTCGGGAACAGATGCTAGTGATCACTCATCATTATCATCACAGCTTTTCAAAGTCGACTGAGCATGCCCTCCCGCGTAGACTACCTATTAAGGGAGGTATTAACCTTAGTTGCCACACTTGGCAGGCGGTCCGGCAAGCGCAGTTTTTGTTATTATTATAATAACACTTTTATGTATATTTTTATATAATAAGCCCGACAGACGGGCACACATTTCACCTGATGCTAAGTGGATACAGTGATCTATAGACATATATCCTCGATTAAGAATGAATATGCAGATGCGTTGTCATCCCTAAGGACTAAGATGGAAAGCCTTTTATCCAGTAAAAAGGGTATCCGTTTCTCTACCCACCATACGAAACAGCATAATTTTACGCTGGTATTCTGTGAGAGCGTGGTCCTTCCCCGGTCAAACCGACCAACTCGTGCTACAGCTATATAACCGCAACATGCCATGGCTCTACCACGTAAAATTGCTGCTGTCAATTTCCTGATGTTTCCCTTTGTCACCTTTTACGACACCCACGGGTCTATATGAGATCGTGCTCAATAATTATCGTTAAATATCAAATCCAAAACCGATTCCGACTACTCAGTCTTACAATTAAAGAAAGCCTCCCTACAACGAGAGAGACTATCCAGCAGAAGACTTAAGGGCTGACGAAGAGAAGCCACGGCAATCGATTACAACCAAATAATGTTTAATCGATTATATGATTAAAATACGCTCAATAGGAATTTTGTTTTTCAATTTATAAAATGATTACCAAACTCAGGGTCGGTAAACAATAGACTGGTGGATTTTGAATAGCTTCTACAGTAAGTTACTGATTGTAAGGAAATAAAATAATATATTCATTTAATTAATTTATTAAAAAAAATATTCAGAGCCATGTTAATGCCTTATTTTAATAAAATGAACGATTGATAAGATAAAATTATTGAAACTGTCATTTTTAAATATTTGAGGTCACTTCAGAATCACAATTCTTTTATATCTTAACACATTAGACATAAATACATCTAGATAAAAAATAGTATGTCTTTACTTGTGTTCTTAACGATTTTACAAATATATTTTTAAACAATTACACTCCTAAATAGTATCTCGCTTTGCGACTACCCATTAATTAAGTTAAAATTGTTTAATATACTTTACAGTGCATTGATTTGTCATAAATTAATATTTTTTAAATAATATCTTATTTCAAGAATTCCACTGTTATGAAACAAGATTACATAATTATTTCGTCAATAAGTTTGATGTTTTTTAATAACATAATAGATATACGATTAATTATTAATATAAATATTTAATCATATATCTAATAGAATAATGAGATTACAGTTTGTATATTAAAATGATACATAATTAAAAAGAAATTTCCTAAATGTAAAAAGTTTTTCTTCCAACTTTACATTATGTAACAAGTTTTTTTTTAATGTAATACGTAAGTAAGAACCAAAGCTGGTAAGTGACTACTGCAGTTCATGGACATATGAAACCAACTTCAAACAAAGAAGTGTTAATTGTCATTCCAGAGGACTAAAAGAAAATGCGTACAATCTAACTCGCTTTCATACTCATCAAAACGGAACTCATTAGTATGTGCAATGCTGTTTGGTGTCAGTAAAAGGCAATAGGGTGTAAGCTGTGCAGAATCAAGTGAAATGTTATTTATTCTAGATTTTGTAGTTATAAAACGTAAGAATTTTTGATTTATCACTAAGAACACTTAATACTATTACAGACAACGCTTCTTCACAAATATACACACGGATGAGTAAAAATTGTAACAATTTATAAATAACGGACAGATGACTTTTTAACAAAGGTAGCATTCAAATGGAATGTTATGTTATATTATAAATATTATCACTATAACCTATGTATAGAGGAAAATTGCTTAATTTTATAATTTTAGTAATATCGAAATACAATAAAGATATTTAGCAAAATTGGTTAATAAGACGTATTTAGTGGTATTTGTTTTTGAAAATATTCATGATATTTTTTTAGTACAAAGCCAGTTTTAACATGTTACGTTTAAGTAAGCTTAAAGCAAATAAAATGAGAGAAAAATAGAGATATAATTAAATTAAAACGTTTACATCAAAGTTACATAGACATGAACAAATAAACATAGCATCGTATAGCATTCTAAACTGCAAATGTATGTTTCCAAAAAAAAAAATACGGAAGAAGCCGTCAAATATGCAACCTTGGTTATAAAATATATTCAAAAAACTTCCGTTACATCTATGTGTATCGAAACTGCGTATTGAGTAAAGGTCAACGTAATTTGTCTTCAAAGCTTCATTTCACGTTCTCGGTTTCTTTATGATGATCGACAGATAAAAACGAGTGAACAAAAAAACAAACAAAATTGTTAAAACAGTTATTAAAATAGTCGAAGGAGTAATAAGAATGTATATAAAAACAAAGTCACAGACATTAAAATTTCTCAAATATTAGATTCATCTATCATATAACACTTGTTTTTGGTTAATACGGCATTATAGATATTTTTATTGACAACATATTAAGTTATGCGCATAAGTTTCCAAACAATCAGCAATATTTTTGGTTTCATCAGTAACATCGTAGGAGCGCAAACATCATTTAACTTTCCTTAATCCGTTATGGTCGTGGACATTGTAGATCTTGATGATGGCGTCATTTAATGTGGTCAGCTTCGCTTTGCAGCCCTTGTCGCATTTGTTACACACCCAGTGGATCTCCTGCTTCTGGTTTATGTGGCGGGATCTCTTTTTAAATCTGTATTCACCAAGGAGTATTATGGCGTTTCCAGCGCGCGACCAGCTGTACTGCGGTACCAAGCCTAGGTTACCTGAAACGGATATAAAATATGAATTCTCTCAAAATCCACAACACCGACCTAGGATCAACTTTTTAACAGCTTCAAAATCACATTGATTATTTTTTCGTTAAATAAACAGATCATTATACGTGTTAAAAATATGTCAAACATTTCATACCACAAAAATAAATTTTAAAATGAAAGAAAAGAAATATCATGAAATAAACCACATTTATTGTAGGTACATACATTAAAATACAAAAAAAAATGCTATCATTTATTACAGAGATCCAATGTTTTTCATTTAATTATAAATTTATATTACATTCTTCAAAAAACACAAGCTTTGGGATCACGAACACGGATCGGTAACATGCCAGATCGGATACATTTCTCGTATCTACAATACCTGCAAAAAGTTCTCCGGGACACATCTATGTGACATTTTCCAGAGTTAGCAGTGCATTTGAAACTACTATATCTATCGCTGAGCACAGCCCGTCGGAAGAATAGTTTACATGAGTCACATGTCGGCAACCCGTAGTGAAACCCTGATATAGTATCTCCACACACGGGGCATCCCTTTCCTGCACGATTAAATTAAATTAATTTAGCAAAAAAACTTATCTACGAGGGTGGATTGAAAAGTACTCGGCCTAACCAAGAAAATAAACAAATACTAAATCAGTTATATTTTTATTTTTCTACATAATCACCATCAAGTTCAATACACTTTTGCCACCTCCCCTTCCAAGCATTTAGACCGTTGAAAAGAAATGATTCTTCCTTAGAGTCAAAATATGCGTCTACAGCTGCTTTGACCTCGTCGTTTGTCGAAAATCTTTGACCTCCCAAGTGCTTTTTTAGGTTAGGGAACAGAAAGAAGTCTGATGGTGCCAGATCAGGTGAATACGGCGGATGCGGTAACAGTTCAAAGCCACAGTTGTGAATTTCAGCCATTGACTGTACTGACGTGTGAACACGGGCGTTATCTTGATGAAACAGGACTTTTCTTCTGAGCATTCCTCGACGTTTTTCTTTTATTTCCTCTCGTAAACGACGTAGTAAGGTGCAGTAGTAATCAGAGTTTATATTCTGACCCCTTTCAAGATAATCAATCATAATCACACCTTTCGAGTCCCAGAATACTGAAGCCATCACCTTATTTGCCGACAAAATCGACTTAGCCTTTTTAGGGGGTGGTGAACCAGGTCTTCTCCACTGTTTTGATTGTTGTTTTGTTTCCGGTGTACAGTAATGAACCCATGTTTCGTCCATAGTACCAAAACGATTCAAAAAATCATCTGCATCGGCTTCAAATAACTCCAAACAGTCGCGTGAAATAGTCAATCGCGTCCTTTTTTGTTCAACTGAAAGCAGTCGCGGAACCCACCTCGCAGACACCTTGTGGAACCCCAACTCGTTGACAATGATGTTTTGAGTTCGTTCATAAGAGATGCCTATAATCTCGGCTATCTCTCTAATTTTTAATCTGCGGTCTCCCATTATTAAATCAAGTACTTTTTTAATATTTTCGTCAGTAGTTGACGTCGAAGGCCTTCCAGAGCGGGGTTCATCTTTCACACTCTCTCTACCACGCTTAAATTCTGCTATCCATTTTTTGACGGATGAATATGACAGAGCACAATCGCCTAATGTACTGACCATGTCATCATGGATGGCTTTTGATGATAGCCCCTTCTTATGGAGGTACTTAATGACGGCACGCTGCTCGATTTGGTCCATTCGCGGAAATTATGTCCGATTACTTTGTTAATAAATTTATAAAATCACAACTAATTATCGCACACGTTTCGAACTTCACACAATGAACTAGTCTGAACTGAACTAAATAATGTGGGTAGATTTGATTTTTAGAATTGAATGGATCTGTGTTAGGCCGAGTACTTTTCAATCCACCCTCGTATCCACATTTATTAAATAATATCTATAATATATCTACGTATTTGATAAATAATCTTTGACTACTATATTTTATTTTTTTATTATATATAGATACTATTTCTTTTTATATAATAAGGGTGACAAACGAGCACACAGTCCACCTGATGGTAAATGATTGCTGTAGCCCATAGACATCTACATCTATCTTCGTTTGCGAATTAAAACGCAGATGCGTTGTCAGTCGTGAGGACTAAGATGGAATGCCTCTTTTCCAGTAAAAAAGGTTCTTCGGTTCTCTATACACACTATACGAAACACGGCAGCATTAAGCTTCTAATTTAAGCTGGTTTTCTGTGAGAGCGTGGTCCTTCCCCGGTCGAGCCGACCCATTCGTGCTACAACTATACTATTAATATAGTTGCAACATGGCTCTACCACGTTTAAATACTAATTGTAACATAAGCCTAAGACTAAAGGCAAAGGTAAGAGGTTAATAGGGAGCGTTCGAAGTGTATAGCGTTTCGCCTGCATGTTAAACACATGCTCAAGTATTTCAGTATTTTGCTGGCCGCTCAAAATATATATCAAATGCACATTTACACCGCATGCTCACAATTGCTCTTAATTGAGCCCTTGCCGTTAGAATTAGGAATGATTTGTACAACCGACTTCAATATAAATAAAAAGAACATCATATCAAAATACGCATTATTAAGGATAACTCAAAAACTACTAGTCAGATCTTGATCAAATTTATATAGGGCTTAGTGACCGACCGAACATTCGGTTTCGGTTTCGGCAAAAATATCTAGTTTCGGTTTCGGTAAAAAATCTGCCGAACCTACGGCGGCGCCGAAACTCAGTGTTCGTGGATTATCGTGCGTCGTTCGGATGAGTTCGTGACTCGTGTATTATTCATAATTATACAGAAACAGAAACTTTATTATTCATAAATAAATATTAATAATATTATAATAATAATATTATTAATATTTTGTTTATACGTGGTAGAGCCATGCTGCAGCTATATTAGTAGTATAGTAGTAAAAGGTCGGCTCGACCGGGGAAGGACCACGGTCTCACAGAATACCAGCGTAAAATGGCAGCTTGACACTGCTGTGTTTCGTATGGCGAGTGTAGGGAACCGGACACCCTTTTTACTGGAAAAGAGACATTCCATCTTATTCCTCACGGGTGACGACGCGTCTGCATTTTGATTCTTTATTGAGAATAAATGTAGATGTCTATGGATCACAGCAACCACTTACCATCAGGTGGACTGTGTGCTCGTTTGTCACCCTATCCTATAAAAAAAATATGGATTATAAATAATAATTATTGAAAGTCACTCTTTCCTTTAGTTACCACTGGTTCGAAAAAAAACCTCTGTCCTTGGAAGAACCAGCAAGAAACCCAGTTTAAATAACAGCTCACAGTCAGAGACGTAGCGTGGAATAATGTAAACGTGGGCGAAGTTGCATCGGTGAGGCCCCTTTTCTTCGTTCCAAAAATCTACCCAATAGATCTATCCTACCAAACATGCTTTGACACGACATACGTACTCATATCTATTAATTCCTGCCAAGTCTCGTAATCCGTCCATGTAACAGTCGCGGTCTTTGAAGGTAGTTACAACGGCCTCGCAGTCGCACTTAAGAGGGGTTTCTTGCGAGGTCCCAAACAAACACATTTAAATTTGTCATTTTCTTTTTCGAGCGTAAAAGTAATCAAATTAATTGGTCATCTGTGGTAAAGAGCATCGCATTTTTGGAGGCCTCGCGAGGCCCCTCTAAGTGCGAGGCCGTGGGCGAGGGCCCACTTCGCACACGCCCGGCTACGCCACTGTTTACAATCATGTAAGTAACACAATTAACAACACAAAATAAATTACAAATAGCTTGGTAGTGATCACCTCATTCCAGGGGTTATTATCATCAATAAATTCATTTATATTATAATAACCCTTTTTATAAAAACTTAGTTTATTAAAATTTTTGAACTTTGACCAGGTTTTGTATATTTTCTGGGATATTGTTAAGTTGTGTGTATATTGTGTGTAAGTGTGTGAGTGTGATATATTAAGTTAATGCCATATAAAAATATGTCCTCAATTAGCGAGTAAGTTTTTATGGGTGTAAGTGATTTTTTACAAAATTGAATTAAAAATTATTTCATAACGTTAAATTGTTGATTTTTACTTTCAAATAAATAAATATATTGCTACATGACTATTACAATTACTGTTTTTCATTAACATGCATTACCTATCTGTATATGTAGAAAAATATACCAAATTTCAGTATACAATAAAAAATAATTAACATGTCTAAATAAGTTCCGGTTTCGGCCGAAACTGTAACTCCGACCGAAGGTTCGTTTTCGGTTTCGATTGAAAATCCTGTTTCGGTCGGACTCTAATAGGGCTACATGAGAAGCACAAGCTTTCCAATAAAAAATGAATAATCAAAATCGGTTCACCGAGAAAAAAGTTCTGAGGTAACACACATAAAAAATACAGTCGAATTGAGTACCCCCTCCTTTTTTGAAGTAGGTTAAAAACAGAGTTACGCCTGTAATCCCCGAGGAGTTGGGCTGTGTTCATGACCAGCGAGCTATTCGGATCACTTTAGACAAAAAATATGGATTTAATGTCAAATTGTGAAACCAGTGATAGTGCTAACCCATCGTCTACACAATCACAAACCCAATATTCCATTAGCCGTCTTTAACGACATGCTGGTAACATATAGATAGTTGACACATTCATTTTTGTTACACACACTTTTGGGCACCACAATAATAACATGGGTCCTATAAATTCCAAACCAACATGAGTCGAATTATCATCTATATACGTATTACAATCGTCATAAGCAAGACAAAAAATGTTAATTCTATCACGAATTAATGTAATGAATTTCGAAAGGATTTTGAAACAAAATTTAATTTCGTTTGATTACAACTGTATTCAAAATATAAAAGCGAATGCAATCAGAATGCGACGTAGTACAGCAACATAATAATGATCTCATCATGTTACGAATAGTAGAATAGTAGTGGTGCTCATGATGCTGAATGAGGTTTTACTCGAGCGTCGTGGGGACCTATTAGATTTTGTAGATTAGTTGATAGGAAGAAAAAAAGTTATAAAATGTTTCCCCTTCCAGTGGTGGGGAAAGCATCTACATATTTTCAAAAATGTAAAAACTACTACAAACTACTACCAATGTTCAAAATTAATTCCACCGTGTCAGATATTCAAAGGGAATGTTAAGTGAACCCTTAAAATGCTCCCATTCAAGACTGACGATTCGGAAGTGACGCAAGCTCGCAGCGAAATTTTGAAAATGCGAAAAAAAAATATCGCCATATTGAAATATTCGAGCGTGCCAGATTATTATACTGAAGGTTCAGCTTGAGGTACCAGTTATGGTAGCTTAAAATCTGACAATCATTTTGAGGGATATTAATAATGTGACTGCTAGAAATAATTTATGAACTTTTTTTCTCAATAACCATAAAATGTGAC